TAGTCAAATAGCCTCTACAGATATAAAAGTAAATAATTGCCGTGAACACAGTCACTATTACCATTTTAAAATAATTATATACGTATAATCTTAAAATGGTAACAATACTGAAAAGCAATATAAATATTAGAAGATGAAATCCAGCATAGTTTTCTTTTATACAACTGATAGAAATGATACAAAATACTGAAAAGCAAATAAAAGTAAAATCTAGCACAAAGTACCTGAGAAATCAACAGTAAAAAGTATGACAAATGTCAAAAAGGCATGGCAAATATAATATTACAGTAGTTTTATTGGTCACTATACTGTTACTTGATCAGCACTTTATCAGCTTATTTGGTTATTAATGATATTTTATTTATCAGGATATATTATGATATCTATTAAAACTTCTCAAGTTGGAAGTAAAGTCATGATTTATTCATCTATAATCATTATGAAGTATTCTAAGATGATAAAACCAGCAATTTTTGACAAGAAATATATTAAGAGGTGGCAATTTTGATGGCAAGAAACAAAATAGTAGCATCAAGTAGCAGTAATTTCAATGGCAAGAAACAAAATAACAATTTTAAGATTCAAGCAAAAGAAAATTTCATAGTTTAGTAAATCAAATACATAATTCTGACATACTAATCACAAAATGAAACTAATTTAATAATCTATTCAATGATTTTCTAGCATAATTATTATAAAAGTGGCAGACATGGTGGAAAAAATCACTTTGTATTACTAATAATATGATTAATGCTAAATCACATGCTATAATGATTTTGAATAAATAAAACACATGATATGACATCACGTGATGTGCACAAAAAATCGGCCCAAATTTCGTTTTAATCTGATTTCATTTTAATCTGCCACAATTATTATAATACTTTTGTATGATTATTTGATATATTCTTTGAAATGTTGATAAACTTTATAAATATAATTAATATTAGTATAAAAAAACTAAATAATTTAAACTATTAATTCTTCTGTTTAAAATTTTAAAATTGAAACGGATCATTTTGGGGTTTCTCACTAGTGATAGTAGAGCCTTCTTGGGATGCAGTCAGCGTAGAAGCAGCTTTAGTTGGTGTGAGTGGTACCCAGTTATTGTGTATCGAGTCCTTGGTTATTGCTATCAGAGATTTTGTTACACATAGTGAGTCAGTGTATTTCCCAAAAAATGGAAAGATTCAGCAGTATTTGATACCTGGCTGAGATATTGACGGTATTGAGACATCAACAAGGGTAGCAGTGTTTATTTTAAAATCCCGGTCTTCTTGGTCCTCGTCTTCAAGAACTTCGAATGGATTCTCAGGGTTTAGGTTATTAACCGGAGATGGATTAAAACGATTTGTCGATGAAAGAAACTCATCGAAAGGATTTGTAGAACCATTTCTTGGCTTGTTATTTGTTGTAGCGCGTCCATTTGCATCTCGCGAAGAAGATACTTAAAAGAATTATAAATAGAAACATCAATAAAATCAAATATATTCAAAAAAAAATATTATAAAGGATGGCAAGTGAGATATTAATATGTAAATATATACTAGTATCATCGTTCCACCATTGATAAAATTCTGAACTTGGTTGTGGCACTACAATAGAGCACGGACTTTTAATGAGATAAATCAGATAATAATTTCATAAACCAAAGGAATATAATTACAATTAGACCCATTTGTATCTTCAACCTCGATTAAAACATTTGTCGGAGTGTCAAATGATGACGATGATTGAATGGCATTGTACAATTCTTGCTGGATTTTTTCTTTGGCTATTTCATCGTACTTTATAATCTGGAGATAAATGAAACTATCAAACGATGTTGCTCAAACTATAAAAATATCATTCTTAAGAAAGTACCAAACCTCTATGCTAAATAGAGCCATGACTAAAATATTGCACAGATCGAGAGAGGAGAGTATAAGTAATGGGGTCATGAATTTGAAAAACCGGAAAACTTAGAAACTGTTTATTACCAGGTCTGTGATCAGAAACTTGCAATTCAGCTCTAGCATATGCAGATTGTGTAATCTGTGATTTAATTAAATAATACGCATAGATATAGTTATATGATCAGTTTTAAAATGGTTACAATAATTCATATATTAATAAATACAACCTACATTTTTTCCTCGATACAAGATTCGATCTGTTTTTAAAAAAATCGATCAAATTTAACAAGAACTGAACCAAAATATACGTAAATGTGTTTAGAACAAAAGAACATTACCGGTCCAAGCTGGTATTCGACTTTTTTCGCTTATTTAAATAAAGAACAAAGTTATAATTTGCATGTCATTAATTAATGAAAATTGAGAGTAAAAGTAACCTAGTATCATATTTATCACTAAATATATCGTATCTATAAGTGGGTAAAAACGTGATAATCTCTTCTTTGTAATCTTGAAATACTTTCATCAAGTTTCGTTGTTTTATCAGCTGAAGCAAAATAAAAAGGTTAAAAATTTTTTTTGTAACTATCAATATCACGAGGCACTATTGCTTACTTGGTCCGATTTTATTAGTGCGTGTAGATTTCCTTGCGCGGCAAAATTACGGACCTGTCAGATGTAGAAACAATAAATAACCAGTAAAATCCTATTTTCAATAGACATCAAGGGAAGAAATATATAATTACCACTTCATTCGCCTCTGAAATCCGATAATTGAAATCTCCTAGCCAGATCACAGTGCTAGAAATCAAAAGTTCAAAAAAGAAATCAAGCAAGGATTCTTGTTTGAAAATAATTCAAATGAAAAAAACCATACTCATGATTGTTAATATGGCGACCTTGGCGAAACAAAATACCATCATTAATTGTATGATAATCTCTATTTCGTTCATCATAATTAGAAAGTCCTATAGAAAAATCATAAAAATTACTGTTCATATCTTAAATAGACAGATAATATCTGCAAAAAACAGTAAATACCTGCAGCAAAATGGGCGGTAACAAAACAAATGCTTGTATCATGATAATCCATACGAATAGCAACAGCACCTTTATTACCAGCCATTCCACCCAGCCCTGTCTAAAAGCGCCCATCCAACCCAGCGCATTAATATATTATGAAGTGCTACTAATAAAGGAAAAGACAAAATCTACATTAAGTAACTCACTTTTTTCGTTACACATTCAACATTACGAATATTTGATACGATGCTGGATTTAGCGTATATTAACAATGCTGTACCAACAAGTTGACGCGATCTCAGAGATACATATTTGGTAGACCATTGTTGATGGTTATTGAGTGAGTTTGTGATCTCTTTTTCCCAAATACGTCTGAAAGTATATTGTGTTAGACTATAGGATATTTCAATAACATTATAGTGAAAAAATCAAATACAATTTATCAGGATCTGCAGATACAATCTAGCAAATAGAAACCTTTATTAGAAAACTTGACAATAGATTGGCATTTCCTTTTGTTTTCAATTCAGTTGATGACCAAACTATTCACCTGTTGGGGTTTCAATTCGACAATTTCCTGGAATCCAATCACTACCAAATCAGGCTGTTTAAAAGAATCTATTACACATATATTATGGTTTAGAAGAAAGTAAAATCATCACTAATTATAAAAATAATTTTTTTTTAATTATAAATTCAATGCATACCTTGATGGAATGCAAAAAGCCATTTATCTATTGATTCTCTTTTCGATGGCAATTGTCCGTTTAGATTATAAGTACCGACAAAAACATCGATTGTAGATTTTGTGGAATACTCTTCACGTCTATTAAACATAAAAATCCGGATAAATGCATGAAAGGAAAAAATAAAAGGCCACACTATATAATTCTACCTTTTATTCAAATTTTTCAATACCAGGTCATGCACCGGATCATGAATAGTAATTACGCTTTGATTCAGTAGTTTCCCCTTATAGTGGAAAAAAAAGAAAACTCGTCAATTTTAATTTTCTGATTATCAAAAAAATAACCTGAAAAATGAATTCACTTACGAGCAGAAAGTCAATAACTTCCTGTTTAGATTTATCTTGAAAATTATTGATATAAAACCTATTCACAGATTTGCTAGCATCTCCAAGAACACCTTTTTACATAAATGTTAATTGACAGGAAAAAAATAGAAAGTTATCATGAATCATTCATGCATCGTATGCTTACCTGCCAAAGTAACTTTCCCGCTTCGAGTGAATTCAGATTTTAGAGCACCAGTACCCGCATAAATTTTGGAGAGACTGTCGCCATTTTCAGCCCATAGATGTGAATGGAAATTGAAAATCATATCAAGCTGATGACGAGATGCGAATTCCAATTGTCGAAGATAGCGTTCAAGAATTGTGCGTGATATCATAGTCTGAACTACATTTGTTCTGATAAAAAAAGAATAATTCACAATAGTTTAATAATCCCGCAAATATTAAATGGAAGAAAAGGGTTATTTATTTACCTATCCAAGCTAAATTTTATTTATATATAAACATGAATCGATTATGTTAACCTTAATATATCATCAAAATAATTAAAATAAAACATCTAACATACCAATCCACGCAGTTAGTTCTAAAAATGCCTTTTTGTTTAAAAATAGGCACATTCGATTCAGTATCAAGCCCAAAGAACTCGAATTTTTCTAAATTCTCCATGATACTTAGTAACAATAATTTTACTTTGTCGTAATTTCCATTTTTGCATATTGTATTAAAATCAAAATCGGTCATTACCACCTGCGCTCCACTTGAATTCAGGATATCTACTTGATTGTGATATTCTTCGGCCAGTAATTTTTCTCCTTCTTTTGGACCAAGTAAATTTATAATGTTCAGTTCACCGTATCTGTTTGCAAGCTCTGTAAAGTGACGTTCGACGGCCGGTTGTGTGGCGTCAGTGCCACGCGAGATTTGTACTTTGTGGCCAATTACTTGTATTCCCTATAAATAAAGAATAAGTAATTATCAAAGTACAACAACACAACCAAAATAATAAAAAAGAATAAAGTATAATTTATATTTAATTTTACCTGCTGCTCCCAAAAGACTGTATTATATTGAATTGGAAGGCAAAGTTTAAGATTATAAAATATAGCATAATGAAAAAAAAGCTTTATTTGAAATTCAAACCTGGAACACTGCCACGAATTTGCGTATAAGACAAACACCATTTTTTAGTATCTAATATAGTCTCTGTCTAATATTCATAATTTGTTAAAGCTTATTTCTTACATTGCGATATTTAAAATTAAAAAAAAATAATTAAAAGTCCATAATGATACCTCAACAAAATTTGCTACATTCCCATCATCATCTATTCCCCGAGTGTTAAAACGTGTACCTTTAATTTATAAAATTAAATTTACCAAATTAAATAATTTACTCTTTGTGAATCGACAAATATACTTAAATATTTATACCTGCACGTTTACAACTTAATTTTGATATTAAAGATATTGATACATTTTCAGAATTGATACTAATCTCTTGCCTGCCAACATAACCTTGGATAACCAACACCTAAAATATATATTCGAATAAGTTTATGAAATACTAAAAAAAAATATGCAATAATATAGTAAATAGTAATTTTTCACCAAGGCACCACTTTGATCCAATTGGGCTTGCTCCTCTCGATTTAATTTAGCTCTATAGCTAAGCAATCCACTAATCATATATTTATTCCAAAGAAATCGATCATCAAAAGAATATTTGTCATTTGCTGATGCAAGCTTTCTGAAAGTTAAATTAAATTTTTAATTGTTTATATATTTCAGAAAGCTTTTCTCCTCAGAATCCAATCATGTGCATACCTAATTTGGAGAGTCCTAGTAAGATCGAAATCCGAGGAAAAATAAAAATGTTTATTCGAGAGTAACTTTCGAAGATGAGAACATGGGTGAGTAGGCCGAAATTGATCGGGCATATCTTCCTCCTCGTACATTCCAGGTACCCAGCTATCCCAAGCATTGTTTGTAAGTGAATAAAATTCCACGTCCAAAATACGATTAACCGACTCGCCGGTGCGAATTTGTCCCACAGGCTTACACTCTGTTACCACAGCTATAAAAATATCTTTGAAAACCCGTGAAAATCGCGTTAATTTCGGAAAAAATAATGGAAAAATGTACGAACCCGTGAATTTCAAATAAAAAAAATACCCTTTTCGAATTGTATAAGTCCAAGGATCCCATAGACATATCGATGCTTATTCAACGGACGATATCCAATCAAACTAAAATTCGAATTATTTAGAAACTGCACATTACATTCCGGTTTTGACGATTTTTCATTTTTCTCGAACAACAGTATTGGCTGCAAATTTCTCAAGTTTTGACAAAGTAATAGTGAGCGCGGGTGGTCCTTGACCAAAACCAGATTCTGCATAGTGATAAATAAACTAACAACAAAAAGAAAAAATCAAACTATTAAACATTGGATACGAACACGTTCTCGCTTTGAAATTTTTCGAATATATTATCGCTATCCGGTAAAATATAAACATTGTCTGGTGATACCATCTTCTTGTTGGTGCAACATCATTTCTTAAAGAAGTCGAGGCTAAAGAAACACGGCAGTTTTGGCTTTTACACAATTCAAGATTATGATCCATATAATAGTGCATGAACTTTATCTAACAGAATACAATAATAATTCAATTAGGATACATTAACAAATATTATCATCAATTAATCTCCTATCGGATACATTTGCAAGGCTACAATTACTAATATCGCAGATAAGGAAAGAAACAGAATAATTATAAAAATTAGAGAAGCTAATGTATATTATTTGTATAGATTTGAAACAGCATCAGTTAGTTAGTTGCTTAATTAATCGTGAAAGTAATAAATCCAAAGAAATGAATAAACCGAACCTGCGCTACTAAATTTCTCTGGAATTTTTATTATGTGTACTGTATTATCAAAAGAGCCACTGACAAGTAACGAAGTGTCATGATTAAAACTTAGAGCGACTGCCGGTTGCTGGTGTACATTTGGAACTTTTAAGAGGACCTGAAATATAAAGAGAAAGTGGCATCCATTTAAGATAACTGAATTATAGAGCTCAAAAATACTACAG